ATCTCCACAGACACTTCAGATGGATCCCATAAACTAGATATTGGATTGGCCATAGTAAGTGTCCCCACATGAATTTCCTCAGAAGCTGTGCAGGGAGAAGGGAGGTGACCCCTCGCCCCTGTGTCACAGTGGTCATTGGCTGAGATATGGGTCCCACTTGTTTTCTGTCACTTGCCATGACATCAACCAGGGCAGCAGGATGCCAAGAGAGAGGGGGAGGAAGAAACCTCTCTTCTCTCTCCCATCCTTTCCCAGTACTCCTAGCCAGTGTCATGCCAAGTGACAGAGAAGAGACAGGACCATGTCACAGGAAGAGACTGCTGCAACAAGGGAGTGGGTGGGGATTGCCTTCCCGTGTTGCCATCATGTCCTCACAAGCTGTAAGTCAGGAGATAATCTGTGGCAGAATTTGGAATTTCCCCTGACTTTGGGTAATAAGGTGCAAGGCCACATTACAGTGACTTTACTTCATGTTTCCCTGACCAAAACTGAGCAGCATTTGGCTAAATGGCCAGTTTACACAGGGTCATGGTCTGCCCCAGAAGAAAGATGTTGGAGCATATGAGGAATCTGTGTGTGTGCGAACTGCAAAATGAGATGCATGAAGCTGCATTTGATGTATATATAAAACTACTAGGAAAGGTCATTTGGAGTTTTGGGGTGTGCTGCTATCAATATGTGGAGATACCCAGCTTCTTTTCATCTTACGTCAAGGAGGCACTCCCGGTCCTAAATCAGTCTGACATCACTAATGGACTTCATGAGGGCAAACAAATTGAAATTGAAATTTAATCCAGACAAGACAGAGGTGACCGTACTATGATCTCATGGAAACAACTTCCTTGGCTGTCAATTAATTTCCAGGCACAATTCAAAGTGCTGGTTGTGACCTATAAATGTCTTTATGGCTCAGGTCCCGGCTATTTGGCAAATCACATTTCCCAGTATGAACCTGCTTTGGTTTTGCGATCATATGGGGAGGCCCTTCTTTCAGTTCCACCATCATCACCAGCATAGTTGGTGGGGACATGAGAAAGGGGCTTCTTGGTGGCTGCACCTAGACTCTGAAACTCACTTCTTGAGGAGACCAGAATACCCCCTTCCTACTTGACCTCCAATAAGAAGGCTAAATAGATTAATTCCTATGCTCACTTTTATGTTTTTTATTTGTATTGTTCTTTTAAATTGTGAGGCACTTTGAGCTCCAGCTTTGGAGGGAAAGTAATACAATAGAATACTATTAATAATAGGTAAAGGTAAAGGTTTTCCCCTGACATTAAGTCCAGTCGTGTCCAACTCTGGGGGTTGGTGCTCATCTCCATTTCTAAGCTGAAGAGCCGGCATTGTCCATAGACACCTCCAAGGTAATGTGGCCGGCATGACTGCAAAGAGTGCTGTTACCTTCCCGCCGGAGCGGTATCTATTGATCTACTCACATTTGCATGTTTTCGAACTGCTAGGTTGACAATATAATAATTCCATATTTCAAATAGTGCAATATGGGAATGTATGGTAATAATATTGTGTTATGCTAATAATATAATATATAGTATTTACAAATAACTTGTAAGCTGCTCTGAGTCCTCTTCGGGGTGAGAAGGGTAGCATATAAATATAAATAAATAAATAAATAAATAAATAAATAAAAGTAATAATTGTAGTAATAGTAGTAATGCTATGGGAGTTGTAGCTCATTGAAGCACCAGCATTCTTTGCCGGAAAAAGCTGAAGATCTTACAAAACTACATTTACCTAAGGATTCCATAGCATTGAGCCATGGCAGTTAGGGCAGCCAAACTGCATTAACGCTACAGTTGATGCACCCTAAGTGAAAAGAGAGCTGAAAACCCTTCCAAATTCATCTCCTATCCTTCAAACAACAGGATTTTTTCTGCTGCGTATGGTATCAGTGATGGGAATGAATGTAGCTAGCTTTTAAAGAAAAGCAACTTCAGATAAGAAAACTTTAGCAGGGGAAAGTTTCCACATCATCTTCTGACTCTGGAAATGACCGCATTGCTCCAGCAGAAAAGCTTTGTGTCCTGAGCAACCATCACAGGTCAGACTTGATCTATGGCCTATTCATTGCAAATGAGCACAAAAGTTACTCCAAGAAGCACAAGAACTTTCCCTTCCCACATCTACCCGCACTCACAAAAGGTAAATCAGGCAGCAGGCACTTTGGCACAATTGCTGGAAGTCATGTGGACATGAATCATTTGACCCCCTTCGTTCATCTCCGCATTCCTCCAGCTGCAGGGGACCCATTTCAATTTAGGCATTTTTATTTAACTCAGGGATCTTGATGCTGTTGTTGTTAGGGTTTATTTTAAAACACACTCTGTTCAAATTCCCCCTTTCTTTTACCCAAATACAGTTTTCATTGACTGCCTGCCTACTAAGCCTGGGAAACCAGCCAGTGGCACCCATGAGAATAGGAAGGACTCCCAGTTCAAACACCAGCTTCTTGGGTTAAAAAAAATATCAGGAGAAAAAGATCCTGCGCACAATGTTTAATCAGTATGGTTTTAAATTAGCCATCCAGAGGACATCAGTAATATTGAGCAATTAAAGATCCTGTTAATGAGTAAGAGATGAGCTGCCAGCTAGAGATTACAATACTGAAGAAGACAAACTAAAGTGCTGAGTCCATACAGTTTGCCATGGGTGCCCTGCAACGTATTTGGAAATTAATTTGTTTCTTCTAGTGGCTCCCAGAAAAGATAATTCATCCTTTTAATCCAAAAAGGTGTGTTTCATGTGCTGGGAATTGTGAGGACTATTACTGAATTTTTCAAGCAGAGTGATGATATTGACAAGGCAGAAGCTGAACATGGTCTAACAGACGAAAATATGTTTTTCATAAAACATATGCCCCCTGTGGCGCAATGGGCTAAATTCTTGTGCTGGCAGAATTGCTGACCAATAAGTCAGTGGTTCAAATATAGGAAGAGCGGATTGAGCTCCCTCTGTCAGCTCCAGCTTCCCATGCGGAGATATGAGAGAAGCCTCCCACAAGGATGGTAAAACATCAAAACATCCGAGTGTCCCCTGGACAATGTCCTTGCAGGCGGCCAATTCTCTCACACCAGAAGCAACTTGCAGTTTTTCAAGTTGCTCCTGACACAAATAAATAAATAAATAAATATAAAAAGTTTTGCTTCCAAAATATGCAGAATTAAGTGGTCTAATGGGAGGTATGTGTGCGAGAAAAAAATATGGTTGCAGATTAGCATGATGCAGGAAGACAGAAGATGTGGAGGAAACTACATATGCTTTCATTATAAGAATGGAGAAACCAGAGAGCTGCTCTATTGTGCAGGCTTGCTCCAATTCATATTACACCAGGCCAAACCTTTGTCCCAGTATCTTTAAAACAAAAATTTATTGTATTGTTGAAGGCTTTCATGGCCAGAATCACTGGGTTGTTATGTGTTTTCCAAGCTGTATGGCCATATTCCAGAAGCATTCTCTCCTGACGTTTCACCTGCATCTATGGTAGGCATCCTCAGAGGTTGTGAGGTCTGTTGGAAACTACGAAAATTGGATTTATATATCTGTGGAAACCAGACCTTGAAAACTGCTACGCCATCAAATCCTAATCAAGGTGGCCAGTTGAAACATTCACACCTACCTCCAACAGACAAGAGTTCTTTCTCCCACCCTGGACATTATTCCAGATATATAAATCCCATTTTCCTAGTTTCCAACAGACCTCACAACCTCTGAGGATGCCTGCCATAGATGCAGGCGAAACGTCAGGAGAGAATGCTTCTGGAACATGGCCATGCAGTCTAGAAAACTCACAGCAACCCAAAAAATTATTTACACTATTTCGAAGCTATTGCTGCCGTTTTTTCTTAAGTGTTTTTCTTAAGTGTTAGATAGTATTGGTCTCTACAGCCATTAATATATATGTCTTCACTTTGTTTAATAAAAGCCCCTTAGCCAGCAGAATGTTAGACACCCCCCCTCCCAACCTGGCACCTTCAAGACAGAAATCTTATGTATTTAAAATGAGAAAAGCCTGCTTTTTCACCTGGACATTCTCTAAAATTGATCTCGTCCTTTTACTATTGCCTGCTGTAGTGCATTTAAGCTTTCTCATTTGGTAAGCCAGTGCCTTTCACTTTCTGCATAGAAATGCATTTATACAGGTAGTTAGCCAATGTGCATATGTGAGGAAGCAACTACATGCCTAATTAGGTTGTAACACACATGGTGTTCATAAGGAAAAGTCAAATTAATGTAGGAAAAATTATGTAAGTTGTTCATAATGGCTTGTGTATATCACAGTCCCTGGCTCATTTCTAGAATTACTTGTGCTTCAAGTACTTTGCAATATTCCATATGGCTCTGCTTAATTTGCACTTCTGATGTGCATGCATTGACATGTGTGTATAACCCAATCCAAGCCAACAGTTTTTATCATGGCCTTCAGGGAGGGAAGGATCTTTGGTAGGGAGAATATGACTTTCAAAAGGTAAGTTGTAATACCTTCCATGTATTTTGAATTCCAAAAGGATTGTAAGGCCAATGAAACCAGATGTCCATGGCTGGGGATGAGCAACGGGTTCAGTAAAAGTAGTTGTTCTCCCCTCCATCTGATTTGTAAAATATGTCTAGGTTATACCAGACTCTCAGAGGTTGCAGCTGTTTCTTTTTGCCTACTGGAAAGGAAAGGCTCCACAACTGTCCCTCCCTTTTGCTTTAGTTAACTGAATGCAAACTACTTTTTGCACTCTTGAACACAATTTGCATCAAGAACCATGGAGAAATTGGGAAGGGGAAGAGAGAAACTGGGACATTTAATTGTGGAAGTTCATTGTTGACTCCCTTTTGTGATGCCTATTAAACTAAGTCCCATCGGGAGATGGGATGGGATATTCTTATTATTTAAATTGGCAACACGGAAAATCAATAAAATTTCAATCAGCCTAATGTGAATTGATGTGTGTGTAAGGTGGCAATATATTTATATATAAAACCCCAAACACCAGTCAAAAGGCAAAAAACATTATTTATTTGTATACAAAACTAGATTCAAAACACAATGTGATATACATTGTACGGTATTAACCTGTATACAGTATTACACTGATCTGTATACAACATTACATGGAAATGATTGCTGAAGTCAGAAGAAAATATCAGTCTTTTGGAGTATGCCACCCATTGGCCTGCTCTCCTCCACTCCTGCAAATCTGCAGAACAAACAGCAGCTTCCAAGAGATTCCAGTCCATCTTCATCTCCTCCAAAGTGAACTAAGAATTTTTGTGGAACTTCAACTGGTACCATGTAGGACTTTGCAGTGTGAGCTTAGCAATACACTTCTAATTGTCTCCACTAAAGCCCTGTAAGACCTTTCTAGAAGCCTAATGGCAGCAAAAACTAACAGGCAATCATTTAGAGCATAAGCACACGCCATAGAAACCCATGGGACTACCACCCGACAATTCCATCTGACACAATCAGCAGCTCACATTATTTAGGATACAGTTAGACAGGTGTGACTTAATTAACAAAATAGATTTTAAGAAAATAAATTATCTGGAAAAGGTATTTACAAAATGTAGTTGGCTTCTTCCATACAAGGATGCACAACAGGTTGCACAACTATGTCCTACCAAACGTGCAACATTCACAGCCAACACAGTATCTACAAAGAAGCCAAAAAAGTATCCTCTCACTATGCATAGGACATGTCAACTGTATACATTTGAAGGGGATGTCAGAAGACAAGGAGTAAATCCATTTTGGTCACCTCTCCTTAATGAAACTGCCCACTTCTCCCAGCTCAAAATCCATGTGACAAACCATAACAAGATGGTGATAATTCCCTTGACAAACTTCATGTATTCAAGTGGTCGAGATCACTCTCTTCATGTTTTATCTTTCCTTGCAAACAGCATTCCTTCACTTTTCTTCCCACAAACTCAGTAAAATGGTCTAGTCAATACTCTCTCTCTTTGATCCCATTATGTCCCTTTAAACTACAAAGCTCACTCACAGAAATATTGCACAAAAAGCAGTACACATATAAGTGCATGATTATGCCAAAAAAGAAAGAAGAAGTGAAGGACACACACAAAAATGAATTACACTTAAAATTTGAAGAGGTCTATGAAGTGCTGAGGAGATACTGGCATGAAACAGCTGTTTGGATCATTGGCTGTGCAGGGATGTCCTGTATCCTAAAAAAAATGAAGGACAGAGTTATTTTCTTTAGGTAGTGATAACCGATTCCCTGTTGTAAAGCAGTTTTGAAAGCCAGAAGTTTATATATAGCAGCAGCATTGAGGTAAAAGTGCAGCTTGATCAGGATCTTCTTGCTTCTATTTTTAAATCAAGTTCGGAGAGAGAGCCAAAACCCACTCCAAACTCCAATAGGATCTTCCTGACCAATCTTACAGTTGCTTAGGAATAACACTTTCAGGGGCAAGAACACAAGAAGCTGGCATATAATATATGAGATAGTCTGCCACTGGTTTCACCATGATATATGTATGTCTATGAATGGCTGTGACTGGGGTGGATAGCCACTTATTTATTTATTTACAGTATTTATATTCTGCCCTTCTCACCCCAAAGGGGACTCAAGGTGGATCACAGTACATATGTATGCGGCAGTTTATACACTGACAAGACAGACAATTGTACACAGACAGAGGTATAGGCTTTTCCCAACTCCGGCATCTTGGAGGCTTGTGCTCGGCTAAAGACCAAAAGCTCACCCTGACCTGGGCTTCGAACTGCCAACCTTTCGATTGACATGATATATTTACTGCAGTTGGTGGCTTAACCTGCTGTGCCCGGCCCTTAAGAATCTCCTCCTCTTCCCAACTAACTTCCTCTCACTGTCCACAACTTGGTGTCCTTCTACCAGAAAATGCTACATATTAATACCTTTCAGGTAGGATGCAGCAAATACATGGAATAGGCACACTATTCTATTTATACAATACACACTTTGTTTTATTAGAGGGCAATGTTAATAAAGCAGGATTGGACAGAAATATATTGCAGATAGCTAGTTTTAAAGAGGATCTAGTTTAGTAATGCACTAATAATCCAAGAACTCATTACACATTCCTCCAGTCCAGGCAGTAACTTGCTAGATTACTTGTTCCTAGCACAATACCACAACAGTTATGATTCAATGACCTAGTCATGTTAGTCTGGAATATCAGCATGCAAAGGGATCTTGTAGAGCTTTAGAGATTACTGGAGAGAATGAAGTTGGCAATATAAACTTTGTAGATTAAGTCTACCTCCTCAGGCACAAAATCTTATACCAATGTTGGGTTGTTGTAGGTTTTTTCGGGCTGTATGGCCGTGCTCTAGAGGCATTTTCTCCTGACGTTTCACCTGCATCTATGACAAGCATCCTCAGAGGTTGTGAGGTCCAATGTTGTTTTCGCAGTTTCAAAGGTCTACAACATCACTTTGCAAACTGTTATTGTGCCATTTTTTAAATGGACGACAATATGTTCAGGCCTCCCCTGATCTCTTATCACCATAATCTAGAGTGGCTGGTCTAATCTGGATTCTGTCTCTTCCCCACAGAGTGACAGTGTAGAAGGGCATGTAGTAGTCACCTGCATTATACAAATATTCAGACATATCATGATCAGACATATCAAAGCAGGTCATTACTCAATCCCATTTCCCCTTTTTCTTCTGCCCACTCCCCTCACCAAAGAAAAACCCTACTCTCAATCTCTAAAACTACTAAAGCCATTGTTTGGAGCAACCAGATTCCCAAGGCAACCTTGGACCGGGTTGTGGCACAGCTGGTTGGGAGTCAGCTGCATTAAAATCACTACTGACCGAGAGATCATGAGTTTGAAGCCAGCCCGGGTTGGAGTGAGCTTTCGGCCATTTGTCTAGCTTGCTGTCGACCTTTGCAGCCTGAAAGACAGTTGCATCTGTCAAGTAGGAAATTTGGGTACCGCTTATGTGGGTAGGCTAATTTAACTAATTTATGACACCATAAAACTCTCCAGCAGCGTGCAAAAAGAATGAGGAAGTACTCCATCGGTGTCACAAGTGGATGGTGAAGTGACAGCTCCGCCGGTGGCCAGAATTCAAAAGCATACCTTCATGAAGCTGGAAAGTTAAATAGCCTCTGTGTCTCTGTCTATATATGTTGTGTATCTATGGCATTGAATGTTTGCCATTTATATGTACATTGTGATCCGCCCTGAGTCCCCTGTGGGGTGAGAATGGCGGAATATAAATGCTGTAACTAACTAACTAAATAAACCTGCCATGTCATAAAGATTAGTAGTACTTTGGTCATCTTCAGAGTTTATTGCAGAAGCTAAGCGGAGTAGATCCTGGTTTATACTCAGACTGTTTGGTGTAGTTGTGTTACTTTACATCAGTGGTGTTAAACTCCTGGCCCTGCAGGTGTTTGGGCCTCCAGCTCCCAGAAGCCCTAGCCAACATCTCCAATTGCCATGAATTCTGGGAGCTGAAGTCCCAAACACCTGGAGGGCCACATATTTGACACCACTGCTTTACATCGTTTCCAATGTACGGTGAAGCTATTGTGACGTATTATTGGCAAGATTTGTTCAGAGGGGTTTGCCTTTATTTTCCAAGGTCAAGATACTGTGATTTCTCCATGGTCACCAAGTCAGTTTCCATGACCAAACAGGGATTCAGACTCTGGCCTCTAGAGTCATAGTCCAGTGCTCAAACCAACATGATACATTAGCTTTCGTTCAGATATGGGATCACTAAAGTACATCTGCAATTACCAGGTAGGACTTGGAAAGATTTCTGTCTGAAATTTCAGAGCCGCTGCCATTCAGTTTACAGTGGCACAAGGTATTATAACAACATAGTAGCAATCCTTAGATGAATAGAATAATGCATGATAGGGACTATAGAGATTTTTCTCTCTTTTATAATATCAATATCTGGGGTCATACAATGGAACTGAATGGAGGGAGATTTCTCCATGCAATACAAAGTTCAGCTTTAGGACTCATTCTAACAAGATGAAACAAATCACCCTAAACCTGAACTCTTTTAAAAGGAAATTTTAAAAAAATCATAGAAAAACATCAGTCAGCAACGTGTTTTGTTGCCTTGAAAATAAGGGAGAGCATTTTTCTTAATACCAGTTGCTAGGGAACATAACTACTGCCCTCAGACCCTGTTTCCTGCATTGCACCTGGATTTCCATTGTGTGAAGAGAACAGTGGATCAGGCATGCTTTTTGGTCTGACCAGGAGTGACTTTTACATGTTTGGAAATAGGGAGAGGGGAAAAGTAATCCACACCTGTTAATCGAAGCAAAAATAAAGTGAAGGAGATATTCTTATTGTCCTCTTAAGATCAAGTAAAGAAGAGGGGAGCACAGGGCCCACAGGGAGGCATAAGCTCCCCGTGGGCTCATAAGTAGCTAAAAGCGTTCTTGGTCAAAATATGTAGAAAAGTAGGGCCTTCTTGAGAGTCAACATGGTGTAGTGGTTTAACTACTAGGTTACGACTCTGAGGAGAAGGGTTTGAATTTCCACGCAGCCATGGAAACCCACTAGTTGACCTTGGGCAAGCCACACACTCTAAACTTCAGAGGAACACTAGGGCAACCCCCATTCTGAAAAATCCTGTCAAGAAAACCCTGTGATAGATTTGGCTTAGGGCCACAATAGATCAGAAATATGCTGAAGGTATCTGAACACTGCCTTCTTAGGTGAGCCTAGATGACATATGTGATGATAAAAGGAGGGGGACCTCAGAATTATTTAGAGTGCAGACAGGAAAGGGCTTTGGGACCATGACTATAACTCACAAGCTTTCCAAACTTTGAATACTTTCATCATTTTTCCTCATGTTCATGCAATACAGCTACAGACTGCAGCTGTACACAGACACATGAGTGTATCGGCTGCAGTCTGTAGCTGTGTTGTGTGAACATGAGAAGAAATGACCAAAATCTTGGGAATGTATGTTATTCTCTTAGAAATCATATATTTTAAATATATATATTAATGAAATGTTTTTATGCAATACATTGTGTTTCCATACACTTAGTTATAACAATTTATTTATGTGTCCATATCTTTCATAAGGGGTTGGCTTAACCTCCAGTTTGGTAGCAAAACTGAATTACTGTGTCGCAAAATGATGTGTGTCACCTACATGAAATGTTTGGAAAGCTCTGCTCTAACGGATCCCTTGTATTTTTGTGGGAATGAAGTGTTTCTCTATGCTTGAAGTGGATCACATTTTCTCAGTCTAATTTTCCCCAAAGAATAAGACATAGTAATGTGGGGCAAACTTGGGGCCACAACCCCTAAGTAGGATGGGATCTAAATTAAATCCATTACATTTGATATACTTAATCTAGTGCAATGCAGTTGCCCTCTCTCAGCTCTACTTTTCATCTTAGCAGAGGAAGAATGGGAGAGACACATTACAATTAGTGACAACACAGAAGGCATAACAATAAAAAAAGAAATTTACAAAATGAGACAAAATAAGTGTTGTATTTATTCCAAACATTACCAATTGTCTCTAAAGAATCACTTTTTAAAGTTTGGAAGAAATTTGGAAAAATAAAACAATCTAGAATTAAAATGAAAAAAAATGCAATCTAGTGCAGTGCAGTGCGCTTTTTTCCATTTGCAAAACACTCCACCAAAAGGTTGCTGCCCAAGATGGGGAAGAAATGGAGTAGTGACAGCTAAAGTTAAGCTTCCCATGCAGTACATGGGAAACTAGCCTTCCTCAATCCACCCACTTTGGAATTTGGAAGGTTCAGGATTGGGAAAGGCTATCAGGAAGTATCAGTCAATATATAACAAAGGATCAAGAAATTATTCAAGGCATTTTTGGACATCCATACCTGAGCAGAAACAACCTAAAATAAATCTTAACATTCCTGCTCCTTAGGAGATAAAGATTGTTTATAGAGACACTCTCTTCTGACTTGGTATCTGACAAAACACATTTTCCTGCCTTTAAGCTAACTGGAAGCTGTGCTTGCTTACATTAGAAAGCTAAACAGCAGTTTTTTGTTTTGTTTACAGTACTTAAAAACAGTAACCTAGACATATTATACATTACCCAGAGCTGAGAGAACAACATGCTTGGATTTGATACATTGCATTTACAAAGAGGTAAAGCCAACCCTCCCATTTGCTTGGGTTAGGGGCACAAGACTCCAATGAAAGTGAAAAACCATAAATAAAACAATGTCTATTATTTTTATGTGAGAGAACACTTTTCTAGGAATTTCTAGCTCATCCAGTATGACTCTATGATGATCTACTTGGGAGGTCCTAGAGGTCTCTAGATCCTTCAGCATGATTGGAGGAAATTGAGGACCTAGAGGTTCTTAGAGAGAATATTTTTAAGCAAATCAAATAATAAAATCTGCAAAAACGAAACCACAAATGTGGATGAGTCACTGTATAGCCCAGGCCCAACTGGGGACTTATGTTGACAGAAGAAGTTCAGCAGAGGATCAAGGAAGAGGTGAGGAACCCCTTCACTTGAAGGAAGATCTTACTCTTCCCACCTACACTTATCTTATCTACAGCTCTGCTTTGGTGGTTTTTTTCAGTCCTCTGGGGCAATTACTGAAGGTGGTGTGTCAAATCCTCTTCTTGAATCCACCTTCTGCCACCCTAAGTACCCAAGTGGCCTTTGGCCATACTATTCAGCCCCGCAGTATGACAGAAGAAAACCATGAAGAAAAGCACATGGAAGTACCTTGAGTAACAAAGCAAGATGGTAGTCCTTTTGAAGCCATGAGAGAAGAAACAGGAAGGAAGGCAGTGAAGCAAAAGAGAGGAAGATTTTACTGGACAGAATAACAAGAAGTAGCAATGTTCAATACATGATTACAATTCTGTCTACTGAGCATTCCTATCTAGACAACCCAAGTGGGGGAAATTATCCCTTAAAATACATTAAGAATAAGAAGTATATAGATACAATAGAGTCTTGCCTATTCAACATAAACGGGCTGGCATAACATCGGATAAACAAAAATGTCAGATAATACAGAGTCTCCTATTGATACTCCTCCGACGTGGCACTAGACACCTAGAATACTAACAACAGGGACTCAAATGGTTAACGCAAGGCAACACCTTGGAGCTAGAGCAGCCCAGCGGGAAATGCCTGGATGTGGAAGAGAAGCGAGGAAATCACAGAGGGAAGGAGGGAGAATGCTTCCTCTTCTGGTCCTGCCTCTTTTCCTCCTTTCCTCCCCCCTCCTCCTCCTTGTCTTGCCTTTTTCACTTATTGGGAATGGAGAGAGAGTTGGAAAACACTCCTTTAATTGAAGGGGAAATGCTGGTGGAAAAGGGGTGCATCGGATAAGATGGAATGTTGGATAAGCGAAGGTCGGATAAGCGTGACTCTACTGTATAACATTCTGTATGAAAGTCAATTTGTTGCATTGAATTTCTTCAACATACTAAAGATCTTTCATGATGGAATTCCTATTTCAAATCTGAGTATTGGCTCCTTTCTCTGCCTAATTCTAATAGGTCATATTATTTAATTACAGAATCTCAGCCACCTTCACACTTGCTAAACACAGTTTTATCTCATGAGACAGCGCTTGTCAGACACTGTATCCTCAAAGCTCTCCTTGGAATTTGGTTGTTTTAAAACCAGCAATGCTTGCTTCCAAAAGGAACGGGCATAATTTCTCATTGTAAATTATTTTAAAAGGTAGTAGTTAAACGCTGTAGGTGGGAGGCTCTTAACCTAACTCTTCGTCATTGCCAATGACTGACATTAAATATATCTCATCTTCTCATTTCTTTGACCCTGTTTGCACTACCTCAGCGCCTCAAAGCATTTTCATTTGTGATACTTAAATCATCTCCGAGGTTTTTTTTTTCCTGTGCTATTTATATGTTAAATGTCTGATAGCTGTTCAGAGGTAGGCAGCCGTCACAGTGAGAACTTTACTCCTGCACTCCGTTTATAAAACTGATTGAAACAAGAGCTGCTTAATGCCCGTGTGTGCACAAAAACTTACCAGTAACTTTAGCAGTTATGAAACATCGTAACTGATACAATATAGCAATACAGTATTCTATGCTCTAGACCAGGGCTTATTAAACTTTTTCAGACTCATGACCCTTTCCCACCAGATACAGAATACAGAATAGGTATAAAAATAAAACATTTACTAATAACAAATCAGCATTTGCAAAGCTTGCTAAACAGGTTGATTTTACTTTTTATGAAATACAGAAATCCATTGTAAACCCTACACATTGTTACTACAGTCAAATAAATATCTAAAACAACCACTAGGTGGCATTCAAAAAACCTACACTGTTGCCAAATTTTTCATGACCCTGACATTGAGCTAAGGCAGTGGATCTCAACCTGTGGGTCCCCATATGTTTTGGCCTTCAACTCCCAGAAATCCTAACAGCTGGTAAACTGGCTGGGATTTCTGGGAGTTGTAGGCCAAAACACCTCAAGACCCACAGGTTGAGAACCACTGAGCTAAGGGGACCCCCTTTTGGGGTGGGGACTCACAGTTTAAGAGGCAGTGCTCTAAATCAGCTATGATTGGAAACTAGCAAGAGAAGGACACTGCACTTTGCATCAGGCTTCTGTTCAGAAACTGAATGCTAGATAGGCTTGTCTTTGACCTGATTCAGCAGGCCTTTTGTGATGCTTACAAGCTTTCATCAACCTATTCAACATGGCAAAATGTGGCTTTGGCAAGTTTGATTAATGGCAAGCATAATGCACAACTAATCATCCTTCCAGTTTCAAATCCTGGGAAATGTGTAAGGATTGTATGACCAGTTGCATGTCAATTTCTGCCAAAAAATAAGACTTGTTGAGGGACCAAGGAAGGTATCTCAACCAGCAGGCCCAAGTGGATAGCTCCTGCTGTCTAAAAGCACCCATTCTACGTTTAGACAGCTCTTCTCAATCTCTTTACCCTGGAGGAATATCTGAAATAATTTATCAAGGAACTCCTCCATAAAAAGGCAGCCCCCTTCTTTTGGCAATCACGATCTCTAGTTACAACCTGCATTATCTTAGAGTTCCAAGGAATCCTAGTGGAGAAACACCAAATTAGAGAGGACAGCATGTATTTTTTTCTTTTTGTGGCTTGCCTACATTTTTTTGACAGAAAAAAATGTTAGGTTAGTAAAGGTAAAGGTTTCCCCTGACATTAAGTCTAGTCATATCTGGCTCTAGGGGTTGGTGCTTATCTCCATTTCTAAACTGAAGAGCTGGTGTTGACAATAAACACCTCCAAGGTCATGTGGCCGGCATGAGTGCATAGGGAGCCATTACCTTTTTGCAGAAGCGGTACCTATAGATCTACTCGTATTTGCATGTTTTCAAACTGCTGGCTGGCAGAAGCTGGGCCTAACAGCGGGAGCTCACCACGCTCCCCAGATTTGAACCACCAATCTTTTGGTCAGCAAGTTAAGCAGCTCAGCAGTTTAACTTGCTACGCCACGGGGGGGGGGGGGGGGAATTAACATTACACATGTCTAAATGGGCAATAAGGGACCCAAGCAGGCCAGCATGACTTTAAGGGACAGCATTTTCTATTGATCTATTTATTAAGTCAATCTCTGCTAAGACAAATTCCATTTGGATATTTGGGAGAAGCTCAAAGAGATGACAATGGAAGCATTCATTAGCTGGCACAACTAGTCATGTCAAAGCTGCTTTCTGTGTTGCATGACACATTTCCCAATGGAAATCAATATGCTCTCAAAGTAATTTCCCCAAACAAGTCACTACTAAATATAACACAATGTTTGATCTTTTAAATTATATATGTTTTGAAAATATTTATATTTTAGAACTATGAAAACTATAAATAATATATGAAAAACAATATTAGACACAGTAACATTCCTTAGTGCTACCAACTAATGGTTTAAAGTTTTATAATCAGTAAGAATTTTATTACCTTCCAAAAAAGAATACTGCAATGTCGACAAAAATGCAAGGTGTCTCCATACTGTTCCTTTATAGGATAGCATTTCTGAAGTGCGAAGTACATCAGCTTCCAGTCAATATGACCTTTTTCTGACAGAATAAGATGCCTACAGAACTGAACATAAATGTAACATTTGAAAGCCATCATGTTATTCCAATCAACTCTGCAAAGAAATATCTAATGGCGCCAAAATGCTTAGTTCCAAACACAGATACAGAAAACCATTGTCAAAATGTTACACTACATGATGATTTTGCTAAACAATGCTAAATTTCTGGAGTCCTAGTTATAACTCAATGCATGCCTCTTATCAGGAAAGCCCCACTGAATCTAGAATTACTTATGAGTAAAGGCTATTTCAGGTTGCACCCATTATCTCTCATCATAAGCACACCCGACTGCAACCAAATTCCACAGAAATGAGTGGGGTTGATTTCTTTAAAAGTAGACTTACAATGAACATGTAACAACAAATGAACGTTTTTGTCTTTTGCTTAAGTAAATTCTATGATCTACATTATTCACAGACCTTTAAACAAATATGAATTTCTCTCTCTCTTTCTGTTGTATATCTGCTATATTTATATAGAGCTAAACTTGTACACAGTTGTATTACTAGGATTGGTGTCACCAAGTGTGATAATTTATGGTGTCATCCCATGGACTATCTCTTGTACTAGTAACTAGACCAGTGATTTCCAACCTTTTTCTGACCAGGGACTACTTTGACCAGGGACCGCTCTCCAACATTAGTACCTAAAGGGTTATGAATCAGTTTTTGGTCAACTTTAGATTCGGTGTGGGGTGCTGATTCAGAAAATTGCATTGGATAGACCACATCAGCTCTAGTTTCTGATACAGAACATATTCCATGGTCAGTGATAGGGAAGGAGTAGCAGGTGGCATGAAACGAGCAGAAATAAAATAAAATAAAATAAAATAAAAATAAAAAAATAGAGGAAGGAGGCTCGTGGACCAGATTTTTGTCCTCGCGGCCCACTGGTGGTTTGGGGCCCGCAGTTAAGAACACTGAACTAGACTATACAGAATCTTTAGTGATGTTTTTCTACTAATGTTATTCATAAATCATTCCATATATCATTGAATGCAATGACAAAATCAGTGACTACAACAAAAATAACAGCAAGAAAAACAGTGGATGTTTGTAGTATGTGCAGACAAAAGAATGTGATTCAATTTGTCATTGTAATTGGAAATTAATGACGGTTCTTGCCAAAGCACATCCACATTGAAAGACTCAAAAAAGTAAGTTAGCACAGAGTAGGTATATCAATATGTGACATGTCAGTTAGGCTTAAAAATAACAATTGTGAGGTTATAACTAAATAGAAGTATATTTTTAATAAAACAATAGATCTCTGCTGAAATACTTTTACCACAAAACTGTTATCAACAGTCATTTTAGTTTCACCCCTTCTGACCAGTGCTAATGGAAGCTCCTTACATCTGTACAGATATGTATGAAAGCTCCTCTTACCTGTTTTTCAGCAAAATGGTACTGGCAGAGTTTTTTCCACAGCTGTCTGTCTTCGCTGAGCATATACAAAGTGGGAGTCACTTGGCCCAAAGTAATGATGTCCCAACCATCTGAAAATCTATACAAAATGTTGTTCAGCATGTGCAAAGGAAGATCACTGAGCGTACATCCATTGTTGACCTGCTGCAAAGCAAATTGATCACTGTTAGTTTGTTAGTTTAATGCTCAAGTCATCAAACACACTTTGATAGCATGGAAAACAACTATGAATGTCCCTGGTAACCTTCAACCAAAACAACACAAGTTCTTATAAGAGGTTTCAAGTTTATGTAACTTTACTTTTATTGCAGGGGTAGTAGTTGCGTGGCTCTCCAAATATCTTCAGAAAGCGAGTTCTAGTATCTGTTGCAATTGGCTAAAACTAACTACCGTAGTTCTATAGAGACTTCCAATTATATCTGGAAGGCAGTAACTAACAGTATCCAGCGGGTCAAACAATCCTTATACCTGCCTTACAATGTAGTATTAATTCTACTTCTACCAGAATGACAACCAGAAAACTATGCATACGAGGAGTTAAGTGATTCTTTCCCCTGTTAAAGCTTTTGGTACGATATTGTCTCTAGAAGCACTTTATCCAGAAATTTCTCATCTAAGAAAAGAGCATACAGCATAGCGAACTAGTATTTTATCTTTTTTCTTAACAGGCAACTTATTTGCTATCATTACAAAAAGGATTTTTGTTTTTTACAAATCACTGGCTTTTTAATTCCATTCTCCAAGATTTTTTGATACACCAAACAACATATTGGTCTGTTTTTCACAATTATTTCAGCTATGAGACATCCCATAGTACTTCACAGAAGATACCAGAGTTGCTGGTAACTGAGGGAAATAAGGTTGAACACTGTAAAAACCACCCACTGCATGGCTATCAGCCTCTACCCAGTAGACTCAAATCAAGGAAAAGCTTCCAGAGAACCACCACTCCTCTTAATGTTCTCTCAGGTCATCCTTCTGGGCAGCTAAACCAGGAAATCCCAATTGAATGGCTCCCCACAAGGGTCTTCCTCCAGGGAAAAAACAAGAATGGGCAACTTGGAAGTCCCTAAACAGACTCAGAAGTGGAGTGGGCAGATCAAAAGACAACCTGGCAAAATGGAACTACCTAAAAGAATCCTCCAGCTTGTGCGACTGTGGAGCAGAACAAACAACTCTGCATCTGTATGCTTGCTCACAATGCCCTGCCTCATGCACTGAGGAAGAATTGTTTAAAGCTACAGAAAATGCTGTCACTGTTGCCCAGCTTTGGTCAAAAATTATTTAGCCACTTGTGCTCCTTCTATTTTTATCAGTTTTATACTTATGTATACAATAAAAAATAGTGTTGCAAATGAAAGCTACTAGTGCAATTTATCATGTGTTGTAATTACAGGTCTGGTCATGGGCCGACATCTAAGGATGCAATAGCACTTCAAAATCTAGCATCTGCAGTGGTCCAGAAATCAACCTATTTTACAGGAATCCACATTAATTATTACAACTGCCAAGGCATTATTATTCTGGCTGGATGGTGAATAAAAATTGTCCTTGAGTTCTTTCTCAACAATACTATCATAGGAAGAATGTTTCTGGCTTAAAGAAATACCTTGGTATTTAGTATATATCAAAGAAATAAACAGGCAAGCTTCGTCCAGTTATACATGTAAATATATTGTAGTGAAAAAGAGGAATGCTTATGTGTTGAGGGCATGTAGAGGTATAGTTGGTTGCACTGTGCAACATTCACCTAAAAATGACAACCAAAAGTTACTTCTGGTTGTGACTTCCCCGATAGTCCCAGCTGTTTTGGCGTGTTGCAGCAGGTGTTCTAAGTTAATTAAATACCATCATGATAAGGTTTAGGCAGATATTTGGTTCATATGGTTCTCCTGAGGTACATTTGACTCAAGAATTAGACTGTAGAGTCCAATTTTTGTAACTGACAGGGTATTACAAATAAAATCATTAGCATAATTTATAGAAGTTCTTTATTTCATTTACCTCACTGTAAAAAAACCACGTTAAAGCTATACTAATCCAACTAATTACGACAAAGAAAAATCACTGCTCTTTCCATCACAATTTTTTAAAATTGAATATTGGATTTATTATTAGGGTGGGAGAATTAGGAGCTCTTCTTGTACAAGAAAAGTATCTTAAGCCTAATATTTTTTCCTATGTAAGCAAACACTGATTAAAGCCACAAGATATACTGTTGATATTTCTAGCATTTCACATTCAATAGCTTATGATATTACAGCTGTATTGATATGAATGCTTCTACCAGGCACTAAGTAACATTTAATTAGAGCAATCACATTCCCAATTTCTATGTATAGCTGAAAATACTGGACAGTGAAGAAAGCTGACAGAAAGAAAACAAACTCATCATTTATCTATTTCATTTGTACGGCAGCCTCCTCTCACAGCAGGACCCAGAGTCGCTTTCAGAGACAGTTAATTCAAAACATTCACGATAAAAATGTTCAAACATTTGTCATATAAAACATTTAATTTTTTAACAAACATATATTTAAAGAGACAAATAAAACATCTCAATAAAAAGCCATCCTGCTTATACATCAAAAGCCTGTTTAAACAATATATAATATCTATCTCCTTACTTGCCTGATAACTAAAGGAAAGCAGGGAGGGGTCTGGGATGGTGGCAAGACTGAGGGAAAACTTTCTCCTATAGATATTAGAACTCTGGTAGGTGCGCATGGGGTGATGTGGCCTTTCAGATAGTCTGGACCTAAGCCACACAGTGCTTTACAGATGATGACCAACACTTGAATTGTGTTTGGAAATGAACTGTAATCCATGTAATGAGTGAGACTAGTGCATAAACTTTAGCTGTGGTAATTGCGCTTCTTTCGACTGCTGAAGCCTTGGCATCCAGGGGAACAAACAATTCTGAGATTTCAGAAGAAGTTCAATCCCAATTTTCAGAAACTGAATCCTTATTTCCTGGCCTGCCTTCCCAGTCTGGATTAAGTTTCAATTTCTCTCTCATCTGCTTCAGACACCCGTTCATTTGAAACGTGGTGCTGTAGAAGCTCTATGGAAATGCACTCTATGTGGGGCTGACTTTGAAGACGGCTCGGAGGCTGCAGCTGGTGCAAAGATCGGGCTACCTATAGGGAGCATACCATGCCTCTATTAAAGCAGCTCCACTGGCTTCCGACACGTTTCCAGGCCCAATTGAAAGTGCAGGTTATCACCTATAAAGCCCTATACGCTTTGGGTCTAACCTATCATTGAGACCGCATCTCCTTCTATGAACTGGTGTGGACTCTGAGATCTGCCAGGGAGGCCCTTCTCTTGGTCCCACCAATGTTCCAAGTACTGTTGGTGGGGACAAGAGGGCCTTCTTGGTGGTGGTTTCCCAGCTCTGGAATGCCCTCCCTAGAGAGATTAGGTTAGCCTCCACTCTCCAAGATTTTCAATCTAGTCTAAAAACATGGCTTTTAAAATAAGCCTTTGACCTTGAGTAGATTGTAATGGTTAGACTTGACTTAGTGATTGTTTCACCCTGGCACTTTGGCTCATTAATTGAAGACAGTCAGTTTTATCTGCAGGCACTACTGCGTTTTATGAATTATGTGATGTTCTATGTGCATTCCCTGAGTTCGCTGTTATAATTTTATGTTGTCATCATTTTTATGCTTACGTATTCTTTGTTTTATGTGTGACACTCTGGAGTGCTTTTGTGAGTTGCCCCAAGTCCCTTCGGGGAGATGGTGGTGGGGCATAAATAAAGATGATGATGATTATTATTATGAAATGCTAAAAGGAAGAATAAATGGGTCCAGGGAAAATCAAGCTTTAACTATCTGAAGAAACCAGCATGACTAAACGGAGACTGAAAAGACATGATTCCCTAGAAAATATAACCACTAGGCCTGGGTAACAACGCAAAAATTTGTTTCTAAAATCGATTTGTAATTGGGGTGTTTTTTTGTTTCGATATTTAAAATAATTACAAAATTTTCCCCCAAAAAAAGTTAGGTATTTACGAAATTTCGTAAATATTTACAAATCGATTCGTTAAGATGGCGGACCCCCCGCGCATGCGCAAAAACACTTCCGAAGCTTCGTTACTGGCGCGGGGTCGATCCGTTAAGGATATAACGAATCGATTCGTTAAAACGACGGACGCGATTGCGCATGCGCGAAAGCGACTTCCGAAACGTCGTTATTAAATACGAATCGATTCGCTATTAAAATAATAACGAATCGATTCGTTAAAATGGCGGACGCGATTGCGCAATGCTAAATGCTCTATAAACAAAATCATTTCATAAAATAAATCAAATAAAATAATCAAATAGAACAAGATATTAAGATATTAAATAAAAAAGTAATAAGATAAAGTATCCAAAACTGAGTCAATTTAATAATATAATGAAATAAACAATAATATAATAATAAAATTTAAATAAATAAAATAATAATAATAATAATAAAAAAAATAAAAATATGAAAATAATAAATATAAAAAAAAAAATAAAATAATATAATATAATAATATATTATTATATATATTATATAAATGAAATAAATAATAATATAAATATTTAAATAAAATGTAATTAAATTTATAAAATATTTATAAAATATAATTATAAATAATAATAAAAATAATATATAAAATTAAATTATAAATTATTAATATATAAAAATAATGTTATTATAAAAACTTAGAAAGTAAATATAAGAAATAAATAAAGAAAAAGTAACAAAAAGTAACAGAAATTGCACTTTGAAAAAACTCTGAAAATTATCTGGGAAGTATTTCTGTAGCAGTATTGCAAGTTAAGTAAGAAGGACCAACTTCACATTTGGGGGTGGTGTATCTTAATGTGCATCCTTAGCCCTGTTGTGGCAAGATGCCTCATATCTTTTCCTCTGCTGACACTCACACCGCAATGCCTGCAAACTGCCAAAGTGGCCCTCTCATTATGGACGTCGTAATGATCCCATAGGAGCGATCTCGGCCTACCCCTACTAGGCACTTCAGATGTACTCATGCTCGTGTTTGGACTGTCAGTGTTTGTGGAAGGGAGTATAATCGTTGGTTGTTTCTGTAGCTCGCCCTCCATCAGCATGCAGTCCTCTTGATCACTAATTCCTGTGGTGGAAGCACATTCCATCTTGTCTTCCTCCCATTCCTCTGACATGTCCGCCTCCTCGCCCTCCTCTTCATAACAAGTAATATCAGAGGTACTTGGAACGACATCAGGATCTGAACGTAGAGTCTTTCGAACTGATGAAGAAGAAGGTTCTGCCATCTCACAGCTGGTTGAAGCATCTGTGGGTGTTTCAATAACCATCTTGTTGGATGAATGTTCCCTTCTTGTCAATGTGTTCATCTTCAGTCCCCTGCCTTTCTTCGGTATTCGCGATAGCACTTGGCCCTTGCGACTAGAAAAGCCGGGAAGGAAGCGTTTCATCACACTGGTTGGAACTACACAAATAATGAGCAAAAGGAGCGCACTGGTTGGAACTACACAAATGAGCGAGCACTGTATTATAGCACTTTGTTGGCAAAAGGAGCGCACTGGTTGGAACTACACAAATGAGCGAGCAGTGTATGTAGCACTTTGTGTTGGCAAAAGGAGCGCACTGGTTGGAACTACACAAATGAGCGAGCACTGTATTATAGCACTTTCTGTTGGCAAAAGGAGCGCACTGGTTGGAACTACACAAATGAGCGAGCACTGTATTATAGCACTTTGTGTTGGCAAAAGGAGCGCACTGGTTGGAACTACACAAATGAGCGAGCAGTGTATTATAGCACTTTGTGTTGGCAAAAGGAGCGCACTGGTTGGAACTACACAAATGAGCGAGCAGTGTTATAGCACTTTGTGTTGGCAAAAGGAGCGCACTGGTTGGAACTACACAAATGAGCGAGCACTGTATTATAGCACTTTGTGTTGGCAAAAGGAGCGCAATGGTTGGAACTACACAAATGAGCGAGCACTGTATTATGTAGCACTTTGTGTTGGCAAAAGGAGCGCACTGGTTGGAACTACACAAATG